GGCCCGGGACAATTTGGTATGGGGCAATTTAAAACCCTCAAGACAAAATCAGATACTTGTTTCTACTGCATCCAAAGAATCTTTTCTTCTCTCCTAAATAGCTGTGTCATTCTTTATGAGAATAAGAGGCTAGAGAACAGAAGTAGGAGAATAACGTTGCCAAAGAACAGGGAGTTAAAATTTAAGATTTCATTGTTCTAGTGGTTCCTGGTTATGAGAAGAACAAGGGTACGGTGACAAAGTTCAGTAACCAATGTAAAACTGAAGGTTAATGGGGTTGAAGTCAAGGGCCTGTGAAAAGCAGTTTGTCTTCTGAGTTTCCAACATAGCTGGGAGGGTGGCAGGACTGGGGGATGGAGAGGAAGTTTGTACTGTAGAGGCAATAAAATGATCAGGGAAAGGTAGATAATGTATAGCAGGCTGGCAGATGAAACAAAATAAGTGTAGAGGGGCCAAGGTCATGGTGAAAATGTACAGTTAATTTACATAAGTTTAAAAGAATAGTGGTATATAAACAGGCCATATTGTGAAGCTGGAGTTACACTTCCCAGCCCCACCCAGTTCCCAGGAACAGGAGAGAGTAAGCAGTGCAGGCTCAGGCAGCTTCAAAGAAAGCAAAGTTCCTTGGAGGAGCACCAGATTCTCTGAAGCCAGAAGGCTCTGTCTGCGAATAGGTTGAGAATGCTGGGAAAGCTGTTTCCCACGGTGGGGCAGGCCCGGATTCCCGAGGGCTCCTCCTGCTCTCAAAGAGGGACTCACTCTCAAATGAGGACTTGGGCCTTTACGTTCTGTGCACATCACCTTGACATTCTTACTAATTTTATCTTTGAATTTGTGTTTTGTAAGTGAAATCTTATTGGGGTGATGGAGAATGCATGGGACTGAGAACCTTGCTTTTTGCTTCCCCTGTTGTCCTGCCTTCCCACTGTTTCCCTGGACAAGACATTGGCCACCTCTGCCTCACACCCCCACCCCACTGCCAGCAACTGTTGCTGCCCCCAGCAGGGCACTAGGCAAAGGCTTGGGGGACAGGGGGCAGTGAAGAGTCAGGAATGCAAATCCCACACTGGAATTTGCAGGGCAGACTGGGCTCCTGTGAGGGAATGTACTTGCCTTTTCCCTGAGGGAGCATGACATTAAATAAGTCCTTAAAAACCACTGTGGCTGGTTTAAAAAAAGACCAGAAAAGAAAGAAAATAGCACACGCGCGTGCATGCGTACACACACACACACACACCTGCATTTTACACAAGCGGACCCGCATTTACATTTTGCTGTGCTGGGCCCTACCAATTGTGCAGCTGGCCTTGACTGGAGGTTTCCAAACGTAACAGGGAAAGGATTGTAGGAGGAGAGGTAAGGTGTGGAAAGCGATTAGAGAGAGGGGACACCAGTGAGACTTTAGGGGAGGATAGATCAATCATCTGAGATAACAGGGGCCAATGGACTTTGCATTTGGGGCAGTGGCCAAGGATAAGGCTGTGAGAGACGTGAAATTACTGTCAAAGATCCAAATGGATTCCGGCAAGAGTTTTAGTGTGAGTGCACTGGACTCCAAAGCTTAACTTTATTGCGGATGGCCTCTGCTCAGCGTACCAACAGAAAGCGAGAGGTTTTTATAAGCTGGTTCAATAAATCCTTTCCCAGGAGCTATTTAGTCAGAGAAACTTCACTTTAATTTGGAAACAGCTCTTCTTGTTGAAAACAGAGGTACATTCGTGGTATGTGTGGGCCAGTAGAGGCCAAGGGTGAGTCTGTGAGGATAGAATTTGGGTCTCAGAGTTGGACGCAGCCAAAACCTATCGAGCTTACAAAGGAAAAAGAAAAGGCTTTTGAGTCCTGACTGTTCAGCTACCAACTTACCATAATTAAAGACCTAAATTTCTTTGAGATTTACCTGTAAATGGGGATGATGGTAATTCCTGCTTTCTGACTGACCGGGGTTGTCAAAGTGTCAAAGTATACAAGAAACATGAAATTGCCTCCAAATAGCTAACTAAATATTAATTGATCCTTTCATTCTATATCTGTTTTCTTTGAAGGATTAGAGGATGCTTCAAATTACTCTGTGATGGCATTTAGGAGAAAAACACGGGAGGCCTGCTTTATAACTGCCAGCCCCACTTCTCTTGAAGGTTAAAACTTAGGATGAAATAATGAAAAATGTAAACACAAAGGAAAACAATTCCAAAGCAGAAGAAAGCTAAGTATATACATGCACATATCAGGTGTGAATGGGTGAGTGTCTTAGAAGATAGATGTTAGGATAAGCAGAATGTGGCAGAGAAAGAGAAGGTCATATCTTTGTGAATGTTTTTCACTCCAAATCACTTACCTACAACTAAGTAGTCTAAATCTTTTTTAAGTCAATGACTGTTTCTCTTTTAACATGTATTATGGAAGCATCTAAAATGTAAGTGGGCTTCACCCTACATTTACTTGTGAATACCCACAAAAGAGCATCTGTGCACAGTGTGAAAAAAATTACATTAATCTAAAGAGATTAATGAAGCATTTCATTAAATTACAATGTCAGGGTTTTAGAAAAGGAGGTATTGACAATCCAGAAGCTGAAATTTGAGTAAAATACTTTAGTCTCTCTATAATTAATGAAAACCCCATATTATTTCAAACCAATGTTTTTGAAGCGCTTTTTCTCAAACACGTAGATACATTTTTAAAGTAGATATCCATCTCTTCAACTCTGTGATATTTTGGAGACAGAATTTCAAGTCTATTGTTTTCATGTCCCTTGCCCCTAAGAAAATAGTAGCTAGAGTAGGATATAAATATTCAGTGCCCATACTAGCTTAACTCTCTTAGGTGGGGGTGCTGGCATCTCTTCTTTGACAACATCGCCACCTAGGGGAAATTGTAAGTCAAAGCAACATCTGCAATGCACCACACATGTTGCATAATACCTAAGGATATATTTAAGAAGAAAAACATGTAAAATGCTCGCATATTTCAGCAAATGAGGTGGACCACCTAGGAAGCACACACTAACTAGTGGCCTAGAATGTGTGTTTGTGCATAATTTTATTTTTATTTCTATGTATCATTAGAAATGTATATAGGCATTAAGGCTTGACTTCTAACTTTTTTTCCTCCATGTCTAGAAATATTTTTACAAAATACAAATCCTGATATTTTATTACAGGAATAAAAATTACATTTTTAGCAAACTATTTAATTCAAATATAATCAGTTACTTTAATTAGTACCCTGAAAATATTTAAGAGCTTAACATGTAAAGGGATTTCCACTTAAGTCTTAGAAATAAGTAGAAAAATATTTCTGCTAAAACTCACTAATTTATCTCTGAGAGTTTCTGGCCATGTCTTCACATCAGAGCAAGAGTCAGAGATAATTTATTTGGTTTATTCGGGTAAAAATGGCTATTTTTCTTTGCTTTAATTTCTAATATATTTGATAGATGCCTTAAAGAATCACTTCATTTTCTGAAAACATATTTAACATCAAATATAATTCATGTAGTAACTTTTATATACTATGTTAAAAATATAGGAACTTGAAAGAAAACAACAAATCTTTAAGGTAGATATAAATGAATGATTGAGCAGCTGGAAAAAAATTATATTGTTCATTAAAAAGTTACTAACTTCAAAAGCTTAATCTTAATAAGTTCCAAAAATTTATCTAAAATTAAATCGCATGGTTTGAAGATTTAAAAAAAAATTTAGGAGAGAAACCAAGATGGGAGCACAGATAAACACTGGAAATTGCTGCCTCCAACAACTTCAAAAATAAAATGAAAAGACAAAACAGACATCATCCAGAACTACAGGAAGGCTGGCTGAGTGGAAATTCTACAACTAGAAGGAAAGAGAAAAGCACACTGAGACTCAGAGGAGCTGCGGAAGTAAAGTGCAGAGGTACAGAGGCTCAAGTGCTCGCGGAAAGGGGCTGGTACCTGAGGACACCGCTGTCTTTTTGAATCAGGAGGCAGACACAAGCTCCCGACTGCTCTGAACTCCAGTTCCGGGAAGTCTCTGGGGACCCAGGACTCATACGGGGAGAGACTGGACTGTCTGGCAGTGAGTAGAACTCGGAACTTGAGGGCGGATTTCCCTCAGAGGTGCTTGCAGCGATTACCGGGACACAGAGATGGGGGCTCCTTAGGACAGGGCTGAGGATCAGCCATAGCTGCTTGCTCCACCCTGTTGATCCCATGAGACCCCGCCCCACCCAAGCTGTGCACAGAGGCTTTTGCATATGAATGCCCTGTGGCCCTTTGCAATTGGAAAATTACCTAACAAACTGCAACTGTGTCAGAGAAACCCAGAACATCCAAAAGACGGCCCAAGGCCCAAAAGTAGTGTGCATTGCTTCATAGCTGGGCTCCTGCTGGGTAGCTTCAGGCAGAGGCTAAATTAACACCTCCTTATACATCCAAGAGCCAGTGTACCCAGTGATGAGAGTGGGACAAAGAAACAGGTCACAAGTGACAGAAATGGAGGAAAGCAAACTACTGGATATAGAGTTCAAAACCACACTCTTAAGGTTTTTCAGGAATTTTCTAGAAACCGTCGATAAATTTAGTGAGACCCTCAAGAAATCTAGTGAGACCTGATTTAGGTTTCCTTTCTAATTTAGGGAGCCTGTTTTGAATGGGTGGGTGGGGCTCTCTCCTCTCTACTGACTGGAAAGGACCAAGGGTCATGTTTGTGGTCCAGCCTGCTAGAAAACTGAAATGATACCATGCTTGGAAAATTTCTAATATACCAAGAGAACATAAAGCTATTAGTCCTTTCATAATTTTCTCCTCCTTCCCCAGAGAAAAATAATACAAAGAGCAATAAATGAAGTTAAAGGCAAGCACTGAAGGAGGAGGAGATTGCTCTATTTTTATCAGTGGAAAGGGGAAGGGAGTTGCTTGATTTTAATCCAAGGGGTGACATTGCCCCAGGAAGATCAGGAGAGGCAATTAGTTCAATATTATTTACTTACTACTTTTTAAAGGCCAAGGTGTTAATTAACCTGGTGATTTCAGGGTCAGACACTGTACAAATATAAACAAATTAAATCGCCTAGACTGGAGAACAGGGAAGGCTGACCAAGGAGGCCCAAAGGAAGCCTCATTCATCAGAGTCCAAGTCACTGTCCCCAGCAATCGAGTGGAAATCCTCACTGTCCTCCTCGTCCTCTGACAGGTGGACCTGGCATAGCACGCTCGGCCTTCCTCCTGCTCTTCCTCCTCACCTTCTTCCTCCTCTGATACCTCATACCCACCGATGCTGCTCAAGCTTGTGTCTTGGGTGTTCGACTTGGGGTCGGGCTCCTCATAGCTCCCATAACTGATGTTGCTATCCTCCAAACCATGAGAAGCCTCCCCACCGTCTCCCTCATAGGACATCATGCTTTCTTCATTTTCCATGCCCATCCTTGTGTTCTCCTGAAGCATGCGGGGCTGTTTGGGTATTATCGCACTGGATCCCACATCAGAGTCACTCCCACTTTCACTCAGTTGGATAGCAGAGAAAGGATTATCTTCTTCTTCGTCACTGCCAGCATCTTCCTCATCATCTTCTCCTTCAGACATAAGCAAATCCTCATATAGGACACTGGCTTGAGGCTGGTG